GTAACCATCCAAATCACCATAACTGCTCCCTGGTAACCATCTTGATAACTATTCAGAACACCCTAATACCTCCCTAGTAACCACTCATCGTAGTTTATGTGTATTACCCATAGTAATTTGTATTCAGAACAGACTTGAAACTGCCTGGTAACCATGCAAATCACCATAACTACTCTCTAGTAACCATCTTGATAACTGTCCAGAACACCCAAACAAGTACCAAGTAACCGTCATTGTAACCATAACCATCAAGAAAACAATCCTGGTAACTATATGAAACACCCCAAAACTCCCTAGTAACCATCCATAATACCCTAACAACTCCTTGGTAACAATTCAGAATACCCTATCCACACACTATCTTTGTTACCATTCAAACCACACTCACAACCCCCTGGTAACCATAGAAAACAACTTCCTAGTAACCATCCAGAATACACTAACAACTCTTTAGTAACCATCCAGAATACCTTAGCAACTCCCCGGTAACTATCATAGTAAGCATCCAGATAACCCTAGCAACTCTTTGGTAACCATCATAGTAACCATCCAGAATACCCTAACAACTCCCCAGTTACTATCTTAGTAACCATCCAAACCACACTCACAATTACCTGGTAACCATAGAAAATAACTCCTTAATAACCATCCAGAATACCCTAACAACTCATTGGTAACTATCCAGAATACCCTAATAATACCCTAGTTACTGTCTTAGTGACCATCCAAACCATCACAACTCTGGTAACCATAGAAAACAACACCATAACAGCTCCTTAGTCTCCATCCAGAATACCCTAACAACTTCCTGGTCTTCATCTTGTTAGCCATCTTGATCACCCTAACAACTCCCTAGTAACCATCTAAATAAGCATCTGAACACCCTAGTTACGCTCTGACTACTGCACAGCATTTGACAGTGTTGCAGTTGTTGATCTGTCGCTAGGTATTGATAACTCGAGCAGAAACAGACACTGATGTGCTCACTTACATATTTACTGCTGTTTACTTGGAGGTGTGTGTGTGTGTGTGTGTACGCACATTTCTGCATGTGTGCATAGATGAACATCTGTTTTGCGGGTGTGTATTGTTTGAGTGTGTGTATTGTGCATACGTATAAGTGTGTGTGTGTGTGTGTGTGTGTGTGTGTGTGTGCAGTGGTGCAGCTGCTGCGACTCCCTCCTCATTGTTCTTCAGCTCTTTGACACTCAGTTTATGGGGCGTCTGCTGCTGCACCCCGATTCTCACCGACGTAAATTATCAGAACACACACCCGTCTGGACGAGGACACCGTCAACACACACACACTCACACACACTCAAATGCCACACAGACTCAAACACAATACATACACACTCAAACTTAACACTGAGATTCAAACAACACACACACTCAAACGCAACACATACACACTCAAACACACACTTAATCAAACACAACACTCAAAATCACACACGCTCAAACACAACACACACATACTTAAACACAACACAGACACACACATACACACACACACATACTTAAACACAACATAGACACACACACACACATACTTAAACACAACATAGACACACATACTTAAACACAACAAAGACACACACACACAAATCCACACACACCCAAACACAACACAGACACACACACATTCTCAAACACTACACACACACACACTTAAACACAACACAGACACACACATACACACACACACACATACTTTAACACAACATAGACACACACAAACAAATGCACACACACACACAAAAGCACACGCACCCAAACACAACACAGACACACACACAGATACACGCACTCAAAAGCACATGCACACAAACACACACTCAAAAGTGCACACACACACACAAATGCACACGCACCCAAACACAACACATACACGCACACAAACACACACTCAAAAGCGCACACACACAAATGCACACGCACTCAAACACAACACACACACACAAACTCGCACTCACAAATGCACACAGACCCAAGCACAACACAGACACGCACACACACCCAAACACAACACACACACACACAAACTCACACACACTTAAACACAATACAGACAGACAAGCTCAAACCCACACACATCCAAACACAACACAGACACACACACATGCTCAAACACAACACAGACACACACAACCAAACACAACACAGATACACACACATGCTCAAACACAACACAGACACACACAAACGCACACACAACCAAACACAACACAGATACACACACATGCTCAAACACAACACAGACACACACAAACGCACACACAACCAAACACAACACAGATACACACATGCTCGCTCTCTCTCTCACACACACACACACACACAAGCTAAACAAAGGTCGATTTTACACATTGGAACAATGCACACCTGCAAACATATGTTCGTCTGTGTACATACACATAAACGAATGTCCACACACACACACACAATACAAACCCACAAACAGATGTTTATCTGTGCACACACATAAACTGACACATACAGTGATGCACAAACACACACACACACACACACACACACACACACACACGCGCATCCTCTGTGTTTTTGAGCACTGTTCTGCTACAGGCTGCGACATGCGCACAGATGCTCAGACAAGACTGAAGTGTGTGTGTGTGTGTGTGTGTGTGTGTGTGTGTGTGTGTGTGTGTGTGTGTGTGTGTGTGTGTGTGTGTGTTGGGATGTTGTCAGATGCATCCCCCTGATTTCTTAACTCTTCATGCTAATCTGTCTCCTGACTCCATCTCTGCAGAACATTCCTGATGGAGAGGCACAGATGCGACCCCAGTGCATGATGGGACAGGCAGACCCCGGGTTCGAGATGTTCAGATAAAGCGCTCTTTCACAGCGACACACACCAGATCATGATAAAGACGCTTCACACACACTTTCATACATGCGTTGGGCTGCATTAGTGCTTTAATCTAGAGCAGGGGGAGAAGTGTTGAGCACGTCACTGTTTCCTCTGCAAGCGCATCTCCAAACGTGCTGCAGACTAGACATTTTCACCAGATGTTGATAACAGCCAAAGAAATCAATATGTGCAAAGAAAACAAATCTGATTAGTTTACAAGAGGAAATCTGTGTAATAAACTGACGCAGGAGAAAAGGTATTGAACACATGAAGGCCCAGACAGCACACCTGAGCAATGCATGTGACTTCATTCTCCATATGAGAAAGCTTTACAGAGTGTGTGCTTCTGTTGGTCTCGTCTGTCACACCTGTGCTTTATTCTGTATTCTCTATTGGATTCGGGTCAGGTGATTGGCTGGGCCATTCTGCAGCTTGGTTTTCTCTCTCTGTCTCCTTGGCTGCTGATCATTGTCTTGCTGAAATGTCTTGATCTTCATCCTCCTGCTGATGTAGATGTTGGACTGAAGCAGAAGGGCAGAGGCTTGCTGAAGAACTACTGAGAGAGTTCAGCTGCTGTCTGGGCCTTCACTGCAGATCTACACCTCCCTTCATGTGTTTTACACAGAGCTCCATTTTGGTAAACTAATGACTTTTGTTTTCTTTTCCTATATGGATTACTCTGGTTGTTATCAACATCTGGTGACCATTTCAGCTCTTTTAGACACGTTTACTGAGAATAATGGTGACGAGGTTGAGACTTAATCCCCTACTGTACGTTTAATATGATTACGTCAGATACAGGACATCGCTGAACATTTGATGAGGTAAATGTGTGAAGTATTGAATGTATTTGTGCTTATTATATTTTTTTATTACATTTTTTTTCCACCTTTGTGTAGATGATCCATCATTTTCATGGTTCTTTAGTTGCAGCTGTACTTTGCCATCGCAGAGATACTATTGTAGTTTTTAGTCATGTATGAGTGTTTGTTTCGCTGTGTTTCTGTGCGAGAGTGTGTACGCTCACATTAGTGCGCTTTATTAAACAGAGCTGATAAACATGAGCAAAATCTGTCCTGTGCAAGAGACTTCAGGCACTATTCTAAAGCTTTTTGTCTAATTAATTAGACCCCAATTGTCTTCATAATAGTTATTAGTGGATTGTTGATATCAGCTAAACAGTCTGTTAGATAAGTTAATTTGTTCAAATGCTCATGTGAGAAGAGATAGAGTTATCATCAGCATAAAAAAGTGGAAGCATACAGTGTACACTTAGCGGCCACTTTATTAGGTACACCTTAATAGTACCTTGTTGGACCCCTTTTGCCTTCAGAACTGCTTTAATCCTTCATGGAGCAGATTCATCAAGCTACTGGAAATATTCCTCAGAGATTTTGCTCCATATTGTCATGATAGCATCACACAGTTGCTGCAGATTTGTCGGCTGCACATCCATGATGCCAATCTCCCGTTCACCACATCCCAAAGCTGCTCTACTATTTGAGGCCATTTGAGTGCAGTGAACTCATCGTCATGTTCACCAGTCTGAGATGATTGAGCTTTATGACATGCTGCGTTATCCTGCTGGAAGTAGCCATCAGAAGATGGAGACACTGTGCTCATAAAGGGATGGACATGGTCAGCAGCAATACTCAGGTAGGCTGTGGCGTTGATGCTCAATTGGTACTAATGGAGCCAAAGAAAATCTCCCCCACACCATTACACCACCACCACCAGCCTGAACCGCTGATACAAGGCAGGATGATCCATGCTTTCATGTTGTTGAGGCCAAATTGTGAGCCGAGCATCTGAATGTGTCAGCAGAAATGGAGACTCATCAGAGCAGCAACGTTTCTCCAATCTTCTATTGTCCAGTTTTGGTGAGTCTGTGTGAATTGTAGCCTCAGTTTCCTGTTCTTAGCTGACAGGAGCGGCACCCGGTGTGCTCTTCTGCTGCTGTAGCCCATCCGCCTCAAGGTTGGCCGTGTTGTGTGTTCAGAGATGCTCTTCTGCAGAGCTCTGTTGTAACGAGTGCTTATTTGAGTTACTGTTGCCTTTCTATCAGCTGGAACCAGTCTGGCCATTCTCCTCTGGCCTCATCAACAAGGCATTTGCGCCCACAGAACTGCCGCTCACTGGATATTTCCTCTTTGTCGGAGCATTCTCTGTAAACCCTAGAGATGGTTGTGCGTGAAAATCCCAGTAGATCAGCAGTTCATATAGAGTTAGCATCATAAGCATAACAGTTAACACAGAGCATTCCACCGTGTGCTTTTATCAATATGATGCCTCCTGATGTGTGATTCATGCGCTGTTTGTGTGTGTGTGTGTGTGTGTGTGTGTGTGTAAGTGTGTGTGTGTGTGCAGGAAAAGCGTGAGTCAGAGTTTAATCTGAGGATCTGGAGCTGCTGAGACTTGCCGTGTTGATGATCTATGTCTCCGACAGGCTCAGACAGGCTGATGAACAGCAGCGCGCCATATCAATGCAGAGCGGATGGGCTGTCATCTCAATAATGCCCTCATACATATGCTGTGATTATCCTATTGAGGCGTAATCGTCAGCCTGTTAGTCAGAACGAGTGTTTGAACAGCCCTGATCATTATCGCTAATATAAACCCATCTCCAGCTTTGGACAGGCGCATAAATTAATGCTGCCGCTTCCAGCCAACATGGAGCTTAATTAGGCAGATTACACCGCACATTACGCCACAATTACACTGAGAACTACAACACTATTACAGGAATTACTGATATTAATAGACGTGTGGGCGGCACGGTGGCTCAGTGGTTAGCACTGTGGCCTTACAGCACTAAGGTTGCTGGTTTGAGTCCCGGCTAGGTCAGATGGGGTTTCTGTGTGGAGTTTGCATGTTCTCCCTGTCTTGCCGTGGGTTTCCTCCGCGTGCTCCGGTTTCCGTTTTTTTTTTTTTGTTGAACTGGAATAAAAAAATATTTTCTAAAACTGTAAAAACGGCTGTAGTCTATATTATTAGCCCTCAATGATTATTGATTAATTACCCTAATTACCCTAGTGAAGCCTTTAAATGTCACTTTAGGCTGTATAGAAGTGTCTTTAAGAATATCTAGTCTAATATTATTTACTGTCATCATGACAAAGAGAAAAGAAATATGTTTTAGAAATTAGTTATTGGAAAATATTTAAAATATGTGAGTTTGTTTACTTAATATATATATATATATATATATATATATATATATATATATATATATATATATA